GAATGAATGAATGAATGAATGAATGAATGAATAAAAATGTATTTTCTTGATGTAAAGTGAACTAGGCAGAAGAATTCAGAAGATGGGATATACAAAATTCACACATATATGTGTATGATGGCACCCAGGATATCTTTCCCAAATGACTTCATTGTCTCCCAATGTTTGGAAACCTCTGATCTAATCTAATCCTCTGCTCAATGCAGTATTTACAACTCAGGATGCCTCAGTTTGGAAGTTACTGTTATAAAATCTAATTATTCGAAATAAAATGCCTTAGTATGTTTTGTGAAGACACACTGCTCAGGAGTAACAAATGTCTTTTTATTCCACATTTCTTTTTATGTTCTCAGAGAGAAGGAAAGAATCTTTTTACCAGAGAATGCAATAGTCTGTCTACCTCTCTTGTTTCCCAAATAATGTGTTATGGCCCCAATGGGCAATTTAACTGCAGCTCAAATACTAGGTCATGTACCTACCTTTTCGGAGTGGGATATATCACGCCCATGATAGTGATTTTCATAGTTGGCCTCAGTCCTCCCTTAATTTCACCAACATATTTCTCTACCTGAAGGTGGGGAAAAATCATTCTAAACGTGTGTTTAATGATGGCATCTATAACATTGGGGGGGGGAAATCACTAAGATTCTGAGCAGTTTGACAATAGCACTAATTGCCCACAAAAATGTTAAGCTCCCTTTTGCTAGACTTATTCAAGTGGAGGCCATCTCACACGAGAGGCTTGAATTTGGATTCCTGCGCTGAGCACTGGGTGGAATTCAATGTCCAACTCTAGGATTCTGTGGTACATAATGACATGCAAAACTATGCAAAAATTACAGTGATGTCCATTATTAACCTACAAGCCTATCTATCTATCTATTCTCCTAACTTTAAAGCTCTGCCTGTTTTTCTGAAAAGCCACAGCAGTAAAGAGGAAAATGGAAGGGCAGCTCAGTTCTGTGAAATGGATTTCATTGAAGTCTACTTTAAGTAAACTCAACACTGTGTTTTCATCACGCAGTACAACCCTCATATTTTGGGGACTGCTTTGCTGGAATATAGTGGAACTTAGATGATCTAAGTGGTAGGCTACAGCCTGGAGCAATTTCTCTGATACTACATTTTATATACAGGATTTCATTGCAGATTAATTATATGTCCACAGAACTGCAGCCTTTGATTGCTGGTTTCAGTGTGAATTGTACTACCTATTTCTTTACATATCTAGGTTATTCTAGACCAGTGTTCCTCAACCTTGGCAACTTTAAGATATGTGGACTAACCATGGCTGGCTAGGGAATTCTGGGAGTTGAAGTCCACATATCTTAAAGTTGCCAAGGTTGAGGAACACTGGTCTAGACACTTTCTAAACATGGGGGAGCCAGTGTGATACAGGGATAGAGCACTGGATTAGGTCTACTGAAATCAAGATTATAATCTCTCCACTTTCTGTTCAGCACTTTTATTACTGTTTTGGATTTCTTGTTCAGCAATGGAAAAACACTGATCACAGTATGGAAAGATACTAAGTCTTTCGCATAATAAATCCCAGGGATGTATGTCCACTCCCTACATTCCCTCCCTATACAAGTGCAAATTATTCATACATAAATATATTGAATTATTCCGGATATTAATCCACACATATATGACAATATACATATATTTAGCCCAGCACTTTGTAAAAATCTATAGTTCCAAATGTTTATCATAACAATGCATATTTTGTGATTCTCCCTGGCTATATTAAAGCCTAGCTAATCTCACAGGTGAACAATACTTAAGGCTATGCAAATATTACTGATTCTTAACTTTGTCAGCCCTTTCCAGAAAAGAATTATCCCAAGAAGCAATTTTAATAAATTTCAATTTTAAAACACAGGATAATTAATGGAAGGAATGAATAGCAATCTTTCTCTGGTTATTTCCAAGTTTATGAAGAAGAAAATAAACTTTTTTTATGCATCCTTCTCCTAAACAAATTTATATTACAAAGTAGGTCTTTTTCATTTACTTACATTTGTGCACCTGTCATTTTCTGTCATTTTTTGGCTTGCTATGTTCCTTAGAAATGGTCCGAAAACTTTTTTTCTTGTTCCTATCCCTGTATATCCACATAACAAACAAAAAGGATAGAATAAAGAGGGGATGTCATGGGGAACATTATCTCTGGCAAACACAAGCTAGACCCCACCCGTGCATATAGCTGAGTCACAACAGTCAGTATCTTCAGAAGACAACCAGAGCAGTAAGAAGGAAGCCCTGTTGCCTTGCCTTCTCTTCCAAGGATCAGTAAAGGCTAGTTTCTGCACGGTTCTAACAATACACAATCCCAGCCAAGGAAAAGTCTCTGAGAAGGTGATGTTGTCTGTAAATCAGTATTTGGAGACTCCTCGACCACAAAAGTGAAATATTTTGAGGGCCTCAGTTCCGTGTTTCAAACAAAGGGGCTCCTCTCTTCAGGGGAAAGTAAATAGGAAATTCAGAGATGTGGCCCCACCAACCATGTCCTTATGAACCTGATCTTCAGAGATAGCAATCCCATGGATTTTAAAGGGGTGAACAACCTTAAACAATGCCATTGAGATGTATTGGTAAAGAAATAATGCAGATTATTTTTATAAAATGTACAGAGGGCAACGCTAATGTTTTGGAAATTAGACTATTACAGAAACAGTCTCAGGACAGACCCTGCACTGTTTGGTCCACTGCCAGTAGAGGCCACTCCCCACTTCCTGCATGCAGCAATGAATGCCATCTTCCTCTTCCCACTCCCAGCCTATTGCAAATGAACTCTGCACCTGGGTTTTCAGCTTTGGTTCAAAACTCCTCTTTTCTGGCCCAAGCTGTGTTAAGCCCTTCCTGTGCTTTATGCTGTTCTCGTAGCAGCCCCAGACTGGCTGATAGGCTGCCGTGCCTGGCACATCCCCTTCCCTGTGCAGCCATTTTGCTCTGGGCAACATTTTCTGCTGGTCAGCATTTGCTGATTTTTCTGTCATCTTGTGTTGGTTTCTCAGTCTTCAACACTAGAAGCTCATGCTTATTCAACCCTTAATCTCTCAGTGGGCACTGTTTCCATTTCTGCCCAGACGGGGTGAAGCAAACTCCCCTTGCTTTCTCGTCCCCTGCCCACAGTACTGCAAATCTTCCTTTTCTTCCCCTTTATTTTTTTTAAATATCTTTAAGTTGCAAGGTAGGAACATTCCATGAAACTGAATTGAACATCAGAGCCGCAATGCTACAATAAGAGGAAGAGGAAAAGGAAAAGAAGGGACTGTGTTAGAGTCAAAGGATATAATGTGGGAAGACAGCTGGCTGACTGTGTACGTGAACAGCATTTCCACTGGGACTGCCAATGAACTGAAGCAGCTGTGCATGCACTTACATGCGCAGACAGCTATGGCCCGTTTCAAAGCAGCCACAGGAGTCTTCCAAAGAGAGCTGCTGCATTAACGCTTCATTTGTGCTAACCAGCTTTGTGAAACAACACTTCTTTCAAGTGCTTTACATCTTGCAAAGCAGTGTGGGGCTTGACAGTAACCATGATTCTGAGTGCACCCCTCTTCTGGTAAAACAATGGCCCACCCTTGCCCTTAAAGAAAGAAAGCTGATGCTGAGATATCTGTAGAGTGATAGGTTTATAAAATAATTTTTATTTCTTAACCTATTCTTTTTCATGTGGGAGAAAAACCAGAACAGTTATGCTCCTTGAGTAAAAATATATATATAGGAACTGACACATGACAAATTGCTTCAACTCATTCTCCTTATGTGGAAATAGCATGTAGCTTGCGTTCAGACTGATACCTGCAATGTAAACACTTGTGTCACTATGTATATAAACAGCAAGAACATTTGTTGAACCTTCCCTAATGCTTATACTACTGGGAAATGCATGGCCATGTCTAATACAATTTTTAAATCACCAGGTGAATTGATTTCATTGCTCTGATGCACTGGTGCTCTCTCTGGTGTAGGAAAGTTTACCAGCTACCTTTGTTGTTACGCATCCTAGTAAGTTTAATGAGAACTCTTGTTGAAACGAGTCAGAATTAAATACATTTATAACCTAAAAAATAGTTGCATAAATAAGAAATGAGGAATGGGGAGCAACTGAATTACTACCATAGATTTGCTGAACTTGGAGCATGGTTTGCTTTGTAAACCAAGGCAATTTGCATCCAGCCAGTGCACTCATTCCCTAATTATCCATGGCTGGGCTATCGTGCTTGTGTTCCTCTATGTGCTTTGTCACAGCTGGAGGAGTCTATTAGAATCACACAGTCATTCAAAAGCAAGTCTAATTCACATCAGTACACTTATTTCTGAGTAAACAATATGCATATGATCAGCCTGCAAGTGCAGTTGCAATCCTCAAGGGTAAAGGCAATAAAGAAAGTGGATGGGGCAGTAGGGCAAAGTAGGTGAGCACTGACAGGAAATCGCTTATGAAAACTATATACTGTTACACTCCCTAGGGGGAGAGGCAGATAGTAGGGTCTTTATATTATGCATAAACTCCACTAATTTGAAATAAAAGGGTGTTTTGAAGAGAACTCTGTGCATGTTCCTAGAGGGCTGGGCATCTTCATTAGGAAAGGGGGGACCTGCGATCTTGACTTTGAACATTTCTGTTGAGACTCTTGGTCAAAGCAACTCGGAATACCTTTGCATTGAAGGACCTCACAGCACAGGTTCCACTCTCCAATTCTCCTTCGTGAGAAATGCTAAGCTGAGCTGGGCCGGATTAATAGTTGGATGGGAGACCACCAAGAAACCGCAGGGTTGTAGACCAGAATAGGAAATTTTAAAAAAGTACCCCGGAACAAGAGAGTGGCAAACCACTTTTGTATGCTGTTAAGAAAACTCCACGGCCTTGTGCATGTTCACACGAACACCCGAACTGGACCGAGAGACAGCGGGGACCGCTGCCCATGCCTCCCCCTCTCAGAACTCAGAAGAGTCCTTTCTCTGCTTTCCTGTCTTCTTCCGTAAAAGAGGCTGAAGGGAGGAAGAAGCGAGTGCCACCGTCCCCATACGGGGTGTTAGGCCTCCGAGATCCGGAGTGCACAAATCTGGACGACCGCTGAATGGAGAGGCCGCCGGGATTCGTGCAGCGCAACTCGGGTAGCCCTAACGCCGAGCGCCTTTGCGCAGCAACGCTCGCACCCCGCGCCCTCCGCGTGGCGAGACAGAACTGGAGGGAGGAAAGTCGGGAGACCGACGAAGGACTAAGGGAAGAGCGTCAGCTCCTGCTTCGCCTGCCCGCTTGAATGATGGCGCCTGCCCAGCCCCGTTGCCCGATGAAGCGATGGCGTATTTCCCTTTCACTCCGCCCGTGTCATCCCCGGCCTGTTAGATCACATGATATGCTGTTCAAGATGGCTGCGGCCATCAGGCTTGATGGCATCCGGAAGGAGGGGTTGCGCAGAAAATAGTGAAGCTATTTCTTTTTCCAGGTGAGTCAGGCTGGAAGCAAGAGCTGCCGCTTTTACAAGGCAAAGGATTGAGGGAACACGGGGAGCGCGAGAGGTCAGACTCCGAGGCGGAAGCAGGGACTCTCATGTCTGGGAAAGTTTTGCAGAGGCTGCTCGCATCAAAGGGACGGCGCGTCCGTCAGCAATCCCAGACAGGCAGACCTTCCCCTGTTATTGCCCGGGTTTGCTGATGCAGACTGTGGCTTACTCAGGAGGGCAAGGCTTCGAGAAGTTTTCGAGGCGGTGAACCCCCCCAGTGAGCCATTGCTTAACGACAAGACTATATTCCTCCTTCGCCCAAGTGTAGGGCCACCAGATCTGGTCTGCGGGAGTCTGAACGACCAGGAGCTAGAGGAAAACACCAATTCTTTGTGGGAGCTAACTAGGCTGCTGGAGTTAGAGGACTTATTTCAGAGTGAACAAACTCAGGTAGTGGTACCTGTTGAAGAAGTTGAAATCCTATGAATTGGATACATTCAGAGGTCAGGAAGGATCGATCCCTGGGAATTTTGATTTACTGGGGATTCCTGGTTACTATTTCTCTCATTTGCAAACATTATACACAATTTCCCAGCAGAATTAACTAAGCCCTTTTCAGTGACTCTCTCATAATGCGCCCAAAGATTTAGTCTATAATCATACGAACTTGGAAAATAAGTCCTGTTGAACACATATTTTCTTCTGAAAACATGGAAAAAGTTTGGGTGGTTATTTTAGCTGTCATGGCATGGAAGGAAAGCCATTATCACAGCTTGCCACATTCCCTGCCTTTCCAGTGAAGATCAGTTGAATGACTTGTGAACAAAGCTAGTTGAGAGCGAGAACAGGGACTCACAATCATATTTCATTTTTAAAATAATAATTTTAAAAGAAATTGGTAAATTAAAGTTCTTTAAAAATGAAATCCATGTCTTTAGCTAACATTTGGCAATAAAATATCCTTCCAGTGTGTGATACACTGAGTTTTTGCACTTTAGAAATAACCTTGTACAGTCTATTATTCCAGTAAATATGGCTGAAAAACAATGGTATATAGCACAGGAGCAAAGGTTTCTTGAAAAACTGTAGTTTCAGATGTTAATAGAAGTAGTTTTCAACTGTCCTGTATTATAATTCAGCACCACTGTAATAAAATAAATACATAAATAAACTTAGATTAAAATAAAGATGAGTGAAAAAGCAAAGGCTTTTTAAAAGGCATGCAATTAATAGAGCTTTCTTCCTAGACCCACTGGCTTAGGGGAAAAAAAATAGGAAAGTCAGAAATGTGTCAGTTTATGATGGCTGGCTGTTTTTGTGAAGTTCTGCTGATGGAAGTGAGTTGTATGCAAACAAGGTTTTTGGGGGTGGGGGTTGCATATTAGTTTTTTCTGGTGCAGATTTTGGCAGAGTCACTTAGAATGGGAAAGCTGGTAAATAACTGGGGAATCAGCCAATAAAGAGACTTCTCTCCACCTGCGTGTAGCTAAGCTGGAAGGGAGAGAGTGGTGAGTTTGGAATTATAAGTCGGAAATAGAAAGAATGCAGTAACTTTAGTTGCCTGGCTGGATAAAGTTTTGAGAAAGACTGAAGTTCTTTGACTCACCTCTTTCCAAACTCTTTTCATTTTAGGACGTACATTATAAGCAACAGCTTCAGTAAATATATATTTCAAAGTACGAGCTGATGAATCAGGGTGTGTGCCTTTTGAAGCAGGAAGATGTATCCATTTGGTAAGGAGGAAGCAGCATCCCTAGAACGACTCTTCTGGTTCTTCTCTGAATGTGTGCAAAGAGGAGACTGGGAACTTGCACAGGCCTGCGTCCCTCAGTTACACCAGTGGCAGGGTGATGGTTCTGAAAAGGTTGAAAGAATCCTTCATGCCCTAATAATCTGCCCTTCCCGTTTGAGGTAAGTTATATTCTGTTACAAATAGGTGAAAGTGGTATATGTGAAAAAAGGGATTTCATCATTTATAACACACAACAATACAATCCTATACATGGATATGAAGAAGTAATTCCTAATTGTTTTCAGTGTGATTACCTATCTGCAGGTAGATGTATAATGGGTTGCAACCTTAAATCATTTTTCATGGTGTTC